ACGATATTATTGTTTACAATAACAATACTGGAAGGAGCTATTAAATACGAAAATCCGCGAACTAAGGCACAGTTAATTGTATTAATTTCCGTATAAAAATGATATTTTTTAAAAATAATTTTACATTCCTACCGCAACTAGATGGTGGTCGGGTCGAATTTCCGACGTGCGGTTTTAAACGGATCAATATGTTTCAGAGCCCCGTAAGAGACATAAATAAAACAGATTTTCAGCAATTGGTCTTTTTGTCAATCAGTGCCAAGATTATTTCGGGACTAGTGAACCGATTTTGTAGCTTCTTTTTTGGTTTTGTAGAGTTTTGACTACTTCTGCTTGTTAAACAATTGGGCCCTCTCTGTGCAATATCGGTTGCGCAATAAGAAAAAATGGTCTGTGTGTTTGTATGTTAGCAGTCTAGCTCAAAAACGAAAAGTCCTACGAAACTGATATCACGTATTTAAGATAGGTATATGCCTTAGATGTGACGGCAACTTTTTCCTTAAAATCGGTTAAGCGGAAGTGCCACTTTATATCAACGCTGAAACACATTTTCACAATTTTCTCAAATAAGGCTCTAACGATTTTAATCAAACTCGGTGTATCATTGTATAATTAAGTGGTCTTTAATATCAATTAGGTCTTATCCCCATTGATGTCACTTCACAGGGCTTAAATGCCCAATGTTCATATACGTCTTCCTCTAAAGTACCTTAAATATGGTTTATTTTAAAAATTTAATCATTTCACATTATTCAAAGTAATGAAAAAATGCTCAATATAACTTTTGAAAGAATTTGATAAGTTAATAAAGGAGAAAAAAATAAAAATGCAGAAAAACCTGCGTTGCTATATACTGTAGCGCCTAAACCAATATACCGATTTCAATGAAACCTCGCTAAAGTAATTTTATCGACACTCTTTAAATTTATCTACATAACATACTTAAACGAAAAGAAGCTGGAAAAAAAGTTACGAGCGATGGTAAAATTAAATTCCAAATAACTCAAAAAGTATACACTTTTTTGGTGATATTGTGATAAGATGTTTGAAAAGTATTTAAATTGCCTAAAAAACAAAAGAAGTTTCATCGAAATCGAAGCACTATTACTAGAGATATCGCGATTTTTAAACATTTTTACTCTATTTTGTAATATATAGTAAGTGTAAGTATTACGATCGAGAAAATTTTTAAATCTGAGTTTTCAAAGGAAATAGACGTTTTGAGGTACCCTGAGTCGAAATGACCAAGTCCCGAAAAAACATGTTTTTCCGTACATTAGCATAAAAACTGCTCTAAAGACTTTGATGATGAAACTTCTCTATAATTTTCTATTTAAAGTTCTTTAAATTTTTATATATTGTATACCTTCTATGGTGAAGTCTACATAAAATCTTTTGACAGATAATTAATTTCCGACAAATCTAAATCGTCAAAATCGGACCAGTTTTAGTAAAATTACAGTGTATTTTTTATAAACTGATTTTAATAATGGGTCACGTGTACGTTTACATTGTTTCATAGTCCGTGGTGCAGACCCTTTTTTATCAATTAATTAACATCCGGCTAAAACTTCGTAAATATTCTCGGAATTTGGGCGTTTTCAATCTAGAGGTCGGCAAACTTTATCTGTTTAATTAGGTACTAAAAACTCGTTAAAGTTTCCACGAATTCATCGTCCTTGAATAACTATATTATATTTCTAAAGTTCTGGTAGCAATAATTTTTTTTTTCAAAATACAGAGTTAAAATCTATTAAAGATAAATTTGGTATGATATGAATTTTAATTTGGAATTTCTGTAAATAAAAAAGTAAAATTATCTTCGCGTTGGATCTCAAAATGGTCGATGATATCGAAAAAGTTCTATCATAGAAATGATTGATGGAATTATTTTTCTCAATGAAGATAAGATGTCGGTTTAATTCTCACGACAAATTTCTTCTTTGTTAAATATTCATCAGTAATATTACTCTCAATAATAATATTTTCCAATATCAAATACAAATATCTGGTGTGTCCACTCACACGACTTTCCTACCTATTACAGAAAAGTTAGGTAGGAACCTATTACAGAAAAGTGTTTATACCTTTACATATGTTCATGAAGAAACAAAACAGAATTGAACTAAATTTATTTGATAAACTAAAGCAATGAAACCGACTTAAGGTAGATCAGTGTAAAAATTTCAATACTCGACTAATAATGCTGATCAAAAACTTTTTGCCACAGCTTAGTATTGTCAAACAATAATTTCACAGACATCAGTAGTCAAAACCCTACAAAATAAAAAAAGAAGCAACAAAATCGGTTCAGTAGTTCCCGAGAAAATCTTGGCACAGACAGACCAATGGCTAAAAATGTGTTTTTCGGACTCAGGGGGCTATGAACCGTATAGATCCGTCGAAAACCGCATGTTGGAAATTTGACCCGATTGCAATACTTTCCTTACCTAGTATAGGTAGGAAAGTAATAAGTTAAAAAAATGTGTAAAAAATAGAATAAGCTGTATCATCGCTAATACTGGTTCGATTCCGATGATTTTTTTTTTTTGTTTTGTTGGTAATTTAGTTACCTTTCAAAAGTTTGATTATAAATTTTACCGTATAATGTATACTTAGGGAGTTAGGCCCCATAACATTTTTCTTTTCTTTCTTACTTTTTTTCCTGAATTTTTTCGGGAATTTAGTCTATATACGAAAATTGAAAGGACAATGATTAGAACATCATAGAAAAGTTTCTTTAAAATCGTTAGAGCCGTTTTCGCGCTACAGTCTATAGAAAAACATGTTTTTCATTTATTGCGCATCGAGTAACGAATTTCTGCCACAGGCATCAGTAGTCAAAACCATACAAAATAAAAAAAGAAGCAAAAAAATCGGTTCAGTAGTTCCTAAGAAAATCTTGGCACAGACAGACAGACCAATGGCTAAAAAAGTGTTTTTCGGATTCAGAGGCTGTGAAACGTATAGATCCGTCAAAACCCGCATGTCGGAAATTTGACCCGATTGCAATACTTTCCTTACCTAGTATAGGTAGGAAAGTAAAAATTAAAGTAATTCTACTAAATAAATTATAACATGCTAATCTAATCCTACTTTCCTGTTTTCTAATATAATATCCTATTTGAACACTCGTCAGTTTCTCGACAAACTTCGCCAAGCATCCATTGTTCAGGGACAACTCTCCCAACATGACTTTTCTCTTAGAAAAAATACTCTCGTCTACTTCAAGGACTTTCCCAGACCCTCCAATTTTCTAAGCGCATACTTTCCATTCTAGTTGGATGAGGTATTCTCTCCCACAAAAATAAGTCTCGGTAGTATATATTATAAAAATTATGAATGATAATAAAAAATAATCAACACAATTATTGTAAAACGAACAATTGAATACTATATATTTACTATTATTATTATACTGTATAGACGTTTCAACGAGGGTTGCCGTTCACGTCAGGGCTGAGGTTCAGAGGTCGCGGTAAAGCCAATCCTGGGATAGGATTCGGTTAGGCCATCCTTCGGTATACGTTAGTGTTGCCCAAAGTCGTTCTTGGTCTTGCACTTTGCAAGATCAAGACCACCACCTCCTGACTGTTGCAAGACCAAGATCGAGACTGGTAAAAAAAAAATCAAGGAAGGGGATGGTCCGGGATGGCGGTCATAAATAGTCATAAATAGTGGCAAAACTATTTTATTAAAAGCCAACGTTTCACTCCTGCAAAAATATGCATTATTTTTGCATAAACCAGATACTAATAACTGAAATGAAACTGCAATAATAGCCAAGTACATTATTATTGTTAAATTCTGAATCGAGTGAAAGATGATATCGACATTGGAGCGAAAACATTTTGACGCAACACGCCTATATCTTATTTACCTTGCACTTCAATTCCTCCTCACCTGTTTGCTCAGCAAACTATATACAGCTCTCATATCTGTCTCTCAAATAGAGTGGATTATCGCAAAGGAAATTTGAGTTCGGCTGAACTCATATTTCAAAATTATTATTGAAAAATAAAAAAAAATCTGGAGGGGCATGCATCACACTACTTTCAATTACCAAACAATCATAGGCGCAAACTTCAGGGAGCGAGAATATCGTTTCGTCCCCTCCCCCAATAATTTGAGATAAAAAAAAATTAAAATCAATATTAAACTAGCTATATGAATGAATAAAATCGATTAAGAACAATCAACTAGTTGGCTAGGCTAAGGCACAGTAGTAGGTATGTAACTATTTTATCGATACCTAAATGTTAATTTTATTTAAATCGTCATTTATATTCAAAGTTAATAATATATATCAACATATCCTAAGATTTAATGATTCGATCACCTCTCAATTAGCAGGTGATATTCTTATCATACTTTTTTGGACTAACTAGTCGGACTGTGAAAAATGTTCTATTTTTATTTGAGGTTGCACACAGTAAGAAAGCGAAGATATTTTTCACTTTTTTACATTTTGTAAAAGATATTTTCAAATATATATAATAAGTAAAACACACACAAAAACAAATAGAATAAAAATCAACACAACTATACTAACAGATAAACAAATTAATTTTAAAATTTTCAATATTATATTTATTCGTTTTACAATAATTATGTTAATAGGGTGTATTAAAAAAATTGACCGTTTATCAAATTCAAGATTTTAAAGGACTGTAAATATTTTAATACTTAATAATCCCTTTAGAGCATTCTCTAAGCTTATTCAATCCCATTCGATTTCTTCAAATAAAGCCTCAGTTTAGTTATTTGTTTCAAAGAAGAAACATGACAGTGTCCTATGAAATTACCGTTATTTTAAGGCAATAACGGAAAACAAAAAGTTTCACAGCCGCTGAAGGAACTCTGAAGGAAGAAATTATTAAATATGCATGTTGTTGTGTTCTTGACCAGCGCACTGCGCGGCGTTGTTATGAAAAAAATTAGCAGAGGAGATACGACGTTAAAAATGAAGAAAGGCTACAGGCGACCATTAATGGATATTGATGAGGCTCTGCAGGAAGCTGTTGAATCACATCCGTCTACAGGTACTCGTGAACTTGCCAGGGAGTGTGGTGTGTCGAAAGATTGTTAGTCACCATGTACTCTCCATGGGGAAGGTAAAAAACAGCAATAGATTGGTCCCTCACGAACTTACTCCTCAGCAATCAGCTAAGAGGTTAGAATTTTGTGAAAATTATTGAAAAGCCCTCCTGATACTCCTGCCTCATCCACCATATAGTCCAGACCTCGTACCATCGGATTACTACTTATTTAGATCCATGACTCATTTTCTTCAAGGAAAAAAATTGATAATTTTGCGAAAGTTGAAATTGCGGCCCAAGAGTTCTTTGACAGCCATCCTAAAGAGTGCTATCAGTGTGGGATCGACCAATTATCTAGCAGATGGCTAATGACGGTAGATAACAATGGAATACATTTAGAGTATTAATTGTATTTTATATCAAAGAAATAATAATACAAATATTTGGTTTAAAAACAGTAATTTTTTTTATACACCCTATTATATATATACATATTTCAAACAACAGAATATTAAATTATTCAGGTACATGTAACATGAATATGCCTTGAATTTAATTATGTTTTTCATAAATAAGAAAGCTTCCAATGAATTACAGAGAGGATATTACAATGAACACTCAACTCTAGCACCTACAATTAATTCTCAAAAATCGCCTTTTTAGCCCTGATAACAATGTTTAAATAGAACACACAATTATATATTCTCGATGATCCTAAAATTATGTTGAGATAAGATATAAAAAACACGAAGAAGTTGAAAAACAAACTTTTAAAAAACTATTGAAACTTTGTTTTAAAAGCAAATAATATATAAGAGAGTAACTTTTAGTGTGTATGTTCAACAAACGGCAAATTAGTATATTCGAATGAACATAAAACAGATTAAAAAATATCCAGTTCATGATAGAGTATTATTTTGAAATAGTCCGTGGTACATACACCTTTCTGTCGAATTATTAACGCCTGCCTGAAACTTCGTAAATAGTTTCATCTCATCTTAACTTACAACTATGTTATTAACTAAAACTATTGGAATTGGGGCGTTTTCAATCTGGAGGGGGGCAAACTTTGTCTATTTAATTAGGTACTAAAAACTCGTAAATACTCATTTTCTTTATACTTGGATCGTATGATAATTTCATCACAAAATCGAGAAAAAAGATGGCCTTCAAAAATATTGAGCCGTTGATCCTATGTAACCTCGTTATTTTGAACATTTGTGGTGTAGGTCACGCCAAACAGCTCAATATTTTTGAAGGCCACCTTTTTTTCCCGACTTTGTGATCAAATTATCATACGATCCAAGTAGAAAGAAAATAAGTATTTACAAGTTTTTAGTACCTAATTAAATAGACAATGTTTGCCTCCCTCCAGATTGAAAACGCACCAATTTCAAGAGTTTTCGTAAATAAAATAGTTGTAGGTTACGATGAGAAGAAACTATTTACGAAGTTTCAGGCGGATGTTAATAATTCGATAAAGATGGGTCTGTACCACTGAGTATATAGTTAGCTGCCTGAAGTTATGTTAAGAGTGAAAATTTACCTTCGTAGAGCATAATAGTAAAGTCCGCCCAAATGTATCTCCCTTAAGTTGTTTGCCCAATACTTTATCCATGGCTAACACTCGCTTATTGTGATACTAACCAATACAATAATTTTTTACTTAAATCTTGGATTTTTAAAACTAACTATTTAGAATTTAAATAAATTTCAGATCATAAATGACAATAATTATTCGCCTTGTAAGGAAGTTTGTAAGGAGATATTTTTTCCTTTTGAATTGTTGTTTTGGTAGCAATGACCTCAGCATTTATTTGTGATGTAACTTGCTTTTGTTTGGCTTGCGTTGCACATTCTCATTCTCAGAGGCCAATCTTAACTTTTTAATCAACCACAATAAAATCTAAGACATTTTCTATTTTAAAATAAAAATCATCAAAAGCAATTGGTTTTTTTTTTTTCGTCTTTCGCGACATCTCAAAAAAAAAAGGCTGCCATGTAAAGTCAGTATAGCTTTCTCGCCGTTTTTATCGGATCTATAATTCAAGGTCTTTAATTTTTCGTATGAGAATAAAAAAGAGAGAAATTGTTTTCGAAAATACAGTAATCCCTCAACATTTGCGGATTTGATATTCACGAATTTTGTTTATCAGCGAATATTACAATGTGAGAGAGTTCCAAATTTCCAAATCGCGTATTCGATGATTTAAAAAAAAAATCCATTCATACTAAACATTCATATCACTAATTTTGGTGAAAAAGGGACATGTATCATATGTAAAAGTTAAGCGTTTTACAGAAGAGTTAATTTTGTTTTACATAAGAACTAATTATTTCTTAATGATATGATACCATGATTTCATATCTTATAGTCATCTGCGATTTTCCATTGTAGCAGACTTCCTATATCAGTTGGAGAGTACAAAATGTCACCTTTAGCAAAAATATAATAAAAATTATACATATACGACTTTTGGCACTAACACTGCCGATATATACTTGATAGATATGTTTCACTCGTAAAATGAATAGATTCAAATAATCCATTTTAAAAATTTTAACTTTTTGTTTGTTCGGAATTAATGGGACCAATGTTTTTCTTCAGTCAGAACAAAACTAACTTAAGATGGAATATAAAAATATAGGTGAAGTTCATACAATTTTGATGTTTAACGAGGAAATCGAGACCACGACGAGCTGGTTGAACTTCAATAGAAATAAACACAATCGCAAATAAGACATTTTTTTTTAACCCAACCTTATAAAAAAACTGAGATGTGTGCTTCAGACCACACGATAGAAATATAAACATCAACAAGGCGAGATTAATAATATCAAATATAAATTATACATAATAGTTCATTATAAAGAGGATGAAATGCTGAACATTTCCCTTGCTTACAGTATGCAAGTCCGATTTTCAGTTTCTGAGATATTTTAATCCATACCTTTAATAAAACTCGTTACCATTTGGTTTTCGATACTATTTTTTCACTTTTCGCCTCTCTAATACGCAGTCGCGTTAAGATACAATTTTGAATAATAGTCCATTACAAAGACGATGAAATGATGAATATTTCCCACACCATGCATATGCGGGTCCGTTTTTTAGTTTCTGAGATATTTTAATTTATATAAAATATTTAATCTAAAAACACTATTCGATTCAAACCGAGCGTTACATATCGGAGATCTGACGGATCAATCTAATTCACTCTTCTCAAAAAAAGTGCAACACGCGCCTAAGGAAATTTTCACTTCACAAAAATATATCAAACAATTATTTTAACACATCAGTTTCCGTCCAGTACCTCAAACGTACATCTGCAATTAGCTCTCGGGATAAACATGGCTGATGGAATTATAATGCTGACCATATTCATATTGCCTCCCGAGATAGAAAAAAATGCATGCCGCCAATGATCTCCCACCAAAGCGGAAATGCCCAAGTTCAATTAGTTCAATAGAAAGGCCTTAGCCAACTCGAAGGTTCAAAGCTGAATTGCCAGTCCTTACCTACCCTTACAAGCTCCGTAATTCCATGTTGTGTAGCTTCCAAAATTTTCTAATGGACTCATCATTTCTAAAATCAAATATTATAGGTAGCATTTTATTTTCGTGTACCAAAAACCGAACTCGTATAACAAAGATTTATAATTAAGTAAATAAATTCCAGCTTCTAGGTTCCTGGAATGAACCAAGCGATAACAGATTAATTTAAAAATAAATATAAATGGGCACCTAATAGAACCTTATACAATGTCAAATAGCCCGGGCACGAATGTAGATTGTAAATGTTATAATATTTTAGCCAAGATTATTATTTTCAATTACCTCATGTAATTTATGAAATATGTAGAAAGAAAAAATATTTTCATAATTTGCAGTATAACTTCAAGAGTATAAAACAAAAAATATGAAAAAGTGAGCAAGAATATATCTTTCTTGATCCGTATATTATTACTGTTCAAAATACTCCGGTTAACCGAAATGAGAGGATTCGGAGAAAGTAGTATATAATTAGTAATAAATAATTAAATAACTTTCGTTTTCTCCTAAAATCGTTTTCTCACGGATACTAGGTTATCTACTAATTGATGGTCTATATACATTAAATACGTAATTAAAAAGCAATAAACTAATATTATATTTTTTATGATAGCATAATAATGTAAATGTATTCATGAATTGAATAGTTAAATATAAAATTGTTTAGGCGTCTCCTCAAGAATTTTTTTCTCTATAAGAGTATAAAAATCAAAGACATGTGCAAATATTATATAACCTACACACCTCATCTCACTCTCAAGTGTTTGAAAACATCAAGTTCAAAAAAAAAAAAACTGTATAAGCCACTCCTTTAAAAACCCACACCTGTTTTTGTTTGCTCAGGTCCGATACGACTTTCCTTTGTAAAAAGGTTTCAATTGATAAATTTTATTTCCATTGAGAAAAACCCTCGAGTTCATTGAGAGAAATGTCTGTCATTGGAAAAACCTAGCGGATGGTGACCCTCAAGGCCGGCGGTTGTTTAGGCGAGATTGGGTTTTTGTTTGGCCTCCTCATAGCGTTTATTCATTTAAATTTAATTCATTCATTAATTTATCGTTGAAATTTGATTAAGCATTCCAAGTGCATCTAATTAATAAAATAATACCCTAGCACTATGCTTAATTACAAAAGAACATACTAACAAAAAATAAAAACAAATTTGACAGAATTATCCATATTAAAGAAACTAAGTGGGTATATCCTGCCCACCTAACAGTGAACCTCTCCTCTCCATTTAACAAATTATACAACCGTTTATTTAATTTTACTACTCGTGGCTAAAATTTTATAACTATAATTTATTGTATTCTTTATTCCTGAATGTATAATTTCAACATAAAATGAACGAAACCACAGTACAGACAAAAATATCTTTAAAAATCTATATTATACATCGTGCCTTGCTGCAAATTTAAATAATATATAACTAGTAGGCCCATGAGAAAAATTCGCACAGCATATTGTTATCAAACGCCAAATTAATAAGGAATTAAATAATGCAACGTATCAAAAGATAAAGAAATCAATTATTACTTTATCGATAAATATAATCGACAAAAATTAATTTATATCTTCATTTTTATTCGGACCAACATGTTTACAAATTTCAATAAGCTATATCTTGGCTAAAAATTGTCCGATTTCTATGATTCTTTTTCCTTTTGTAGGGAATTTAGTGATCTTTTATATAATCATGGGCATAACCAAAGGAAAAGTGTGTAATTTTTTAGTTATTCTCAAATAAAGTTTCTTTTCTTTCAAAACTTGTTTGCC